AGGTACCCTTTCGGCCAATCGACCTAGTTGCGTATCGGAAGCCGTAGAGACTATTCCAAACTAGGGCAGGTTGTTTACCCAAATGCAGGAATTGTATGAAACCGTTTGTTTGCGTAGTGAATCCCTAGTTTCCGACGAAATTAGGACAAGGTAACCCTACCCAATTATAGGGGTGTTTTGGCTCTCACTTGCTTGATACGTGCTTTTAGAGTGAAACTCTGCAGGAATGTATGTATTAGTTGCAAGTCTGGATATCAGTTTGAGGGTACAATTTTTTGGAGGCAAAAATTCAGTATGGTTCTCCAGCTTATGATTGCAACTGCATGTTGTTTCTGTCTGAGCCAAGGTGTTGTGCAATTTCTAATTTTTATTTATTTTGCTTTGTTTTCTTTTTGCAAGGTAATCTTTCACCATTGCTTCAGACGATTCTATTACCCCTCAAGCACCCTGGACCCGAGTTAGAAGGATTTGCAGATCTGGAGATTTAGTCAGGGGACAGCCAGTGTTTGTTTCACTTCCGCTGGTTACTAGACGGAGGAGGATTTGGCAGAATTTGCCAATTCAGCAGTAACCTTTTACCTCGTCTATGCCCAATCAGGCCCAATCATCAACTTCTACTCCAGACAGAGAGTATTCGCCAGTTCCGGTAGTTCAAAGTCCTCTAGTCAACATGGAAGACATGCTTCGCCAACTTCAGCAGACTATTGAGAACATGCAGCTAGATGCTGCTCGACAAGCTGAGACCACAGCCCGCCAAGCCGAGATTGTAGCCCGCTAAGCAGAGGTAATAGAAAGGCTTCAACAACAGCAGCCCCAACCTACAGTAGCCTCAGCATCCCATGCATCCCCAGTAGAAATTTCAGCCCCCAGGGTCATAATTAATGTCCAGGAAAATGCGGGCATTCAGGCAGATCACATCCCACCTAAAACCTCTAAGGCACTAGTTTACCAAACAGAGGCGCCGTTTGAATTTGAGGTCAACCCTACTGCACTGAAAGTGAGCAAGCTGGAAAAGCTCTTTAAACGGACATAAACGTGAATTCGATCGTTGATATTGAGGATGGCTATACTGATTCGGCGGTGACATTACCAGATAGATTCAAGATGCCGCATATAGACCGGTTTGACGGTTCCGGCGATCCTATGGTCCATCTACGGCTATTCTCTGACATTCTGCAACCCATGGGTCTCACCAAACTACAGAAGCTGTCACTCTTTGGCCGGACCCAATCGTCCTCCAGGCCGTTCTTAAAAGACACGACTGCCAACTCCTGGTTGCACCATGGTATTCAATTGAATACCTCATAATACCTTTTGGCGTAGGCCCTGAGGCTCTCACCCTTCCCAATTTTCAAAGCTATCAGGGAGTCTACCGTCAATGGTTGCAACTTGTTCGTGACAAACCTGGCCATGAACATCTCGGTTATGCCTTTCCAACTCTTCACTGTTCCTTTCGGTAATTTGTAAAACCAATTCGATGCAATTTTCCCAAAGGATGAGGGGAACACCTTGCACAACAATGGTTTGTTCCCGGTATACAAAGCCATTGAATTCAGATACAAGCTGACGTAAAAATTCAAATCGAACTTACCATCATATATCTAGAACCTCGGCATATGGAACCTTTTAAAGGCCTCAAACCTATCCAACTTGACTGAGAAGGGCGTTCTCAGTTTGACAAGTGATGTGACCTCAATATTCTGCCGCTTCCTCTGGAGGTAGTCTCTCAAATCCTCCTTAGTTCGACCAGGAGCTCGGTTGTCAACGGATTTCAGCCTTTTTGGTGCTCTACTCCCGATGTTGTTATGCGTCTTTTTAGACTTCTTTTCATTCACTGTGTCAAAACAAAGTTCCTTCCCCTAAACATGCCGATGTTCCTTGACGTAAGTTCCCTTGGTCCGAATCGTCCTTTTAGACTCTGCTTTCATTGACTCTGCTCGCCCGACATCCTGTGAAGGCCGATGTGAGCATTCTTTCACCTTATCATGTTGAGGGACTGCTGGGATTGCTTTCTACCCCACTTTTTGGGCGTGGTTCTTAGCCGTTGGAATCGGCGTGTCCTTCAATGGAAACGGTGGTTGCATGACATTATTCTACATTATGAAGTTGACAGCCGATTGTAGGTCTGCCAACTTGTTTTCCATTATATTCATCTCGTCGTCCCTCCACAGGCATCTATCTTTTCATACTTGGAGGTCGCTTTCGTTGTAATACTCGTCTCGGCCTGCTTCCTTCGGTGCGTCTCCTTCTTGGCCGACGTCTTTCTCCCCGGGATTCGTATCCTATGTTCCTTCGTTATGGTTTTCTTCCTCTATGTTTGGATCTGCATGCTTACCACTCCCACTAGGGATGTCGTCCTCGATCTTTTCTTTCTGCTCGTCGTTGGCCGTCTATTCCCCTTATGATTCCCACAGACGGTGCCAAATTGTGGGTATTGATTTCCGACCACACAACCAAACGGGGAACTTAGCTGGAGAGCATCGGCAGAATAGATTAAGCCCGAACAACCTGTCACAGAAAGATAAGAATCCAGTGGTGGTTCGTCCAACCGGGGGCACTTCGACGATCAAGTCAGTAATCAAATATCTCTCAAAGATAGCTAATTGTGCTTAACTCACAAGAAAGAACTTACTGCTCACAGTATATCACACATACCATAGACCCACAAGGGTGCTCTGCTTTTATAGTCAGCACTGACTTGATCTCTGTAAAGGCCTAACTTCAATGGATTCAGGATCAATGGTCATCTTGAAGTCTTAGCTAGATAAGGATAAACTCCCTAAAAGCTTTATCTTTACCCAGATTAAGATCCTCCCCTGTTCTAGGACTCTTATCCCTTATCCGCTCATCTCGGATTCCGACATCTCCGCAAATAACCTCAGCCTAGCCGAGATCACCTCGTCATCAGGACCAGACCACGTGGCACCTCAGCTGACATTCCGGCGTCACTTTGGCCATGTGCTATCACTCACAAAATATGTCCTCACAATAAATGTTAACTTTTAATTTATTACTCATCTAATGATATATAGCACAATTCAATCAAAGTGAATTTGTAAATTTAAAACCGTAACTCTCTAACATTTCTCTAATACGGATTTCTAATTAGGGGGATTTGGTGATAGATCTATCAGTGTCTAATTTGTCCTTCAAAAGAATAAGAATTAAATGGATCCTTTGAAAACCCTTAGGTGTGTATTAGATTACAATTACTCTCTCTCAACTCAATCTATTTTCTCTCTGTTTCGCTCTTATTGCTCTCTATCGATGCCATCGGCACTCTCCATTGGCGCCATCGCCGCTAAATATGGAACTTTTTCTCTATTGTCTTCATCGCCACTATCACTCGTTGCATCCACAACCTCAGATCTATGATCATTCATAGTTGTTTTCATCGAAAAATGACGGTTCGCAATCCTCAGATCTGAGATTCTTTACACACACACACACACACACTCTCTCTCTCTCTCTCTCTCTCTCTCTCTCTCTCTCCTTCTTCTTCTTCTTCTTCTTCTTCTCCTTATGATGCTGTATTTTCGAACTCTGTCTCCCTATCTATCTTTTTTCTTCTCATGATGCTCTGTTCTTCGAACAGAAAAAATTTATTCTGGTTTATAACACAACACTCTCATGTAAAGCCATTCTCACAGTTTGTTTCAGAGTAAGATTTTATTGTTTTTTTATTTATATTTATTACAGAGTAAAATTTTACTGTCGTTAAGCAGATTAACATGTTGTTAACCAAAGCAAATTTTGTTGTTACAAAAAACAAAATGCATATTAAATGAACGAACTAGAGTCAAATTTTACTTTTAGATCTATAAGCAAAAAAAAAAAAAACTCTTGATTTTTTATTGCAATATCTTGATTTCTCATTTTTCTGTCAAATCTAAGATTTTATTTATTTATTTTTATTTTTAATTTCATATATGAAATTATTGATCTCAAATATGAGTTCGTAGATATCAAATTTGAGATGGTGGTGGTTTGACGATAAAAATGATGGTTGTCGTTCAACGGTGAGGATGAGTGACATCGACAGATGATGACGATGGTTGAGACGATGACCAATCATCGAGTTAGTGAAGAGAGAGAGAGAGAGAGAGAGAGAGCTATACAAGAAAGAGAAGAAAGAGAGAGTATAATGGTTAAATAAAATATTCAAATAACAAATTTTGTCCTTTATACAGAATTTTATAATTATGAGGGGATTCTCAAAGTACTAAGGTTGCGTGTGATTTAGTTTTGAAATTGTGATTCTCTTTTTGGAGTTGTAATTTGAGTGTGAAATTGTAAGTTGAGTTTTGAAAAAAGAAAATTTATTTGGTTATCAGTTTTGAAAAATATTTTTGAATATTAAATTTTGAAAAGAGTGAATTGAGTCTACCCGGTCGTCCGCTTGGACATCTTCCCAGACATCCGGTTGGTTGGCAGGAATGGTGCAAATATATATCTATTATTTTAAATATATATATATATATATATATATTTTAGATTTTTTTTAAATATAGAAATTATTATTTTTAAATTTTTTATAAAAATAATTTAACAATTCCATCACTAACTATTTTTAACATTATATCATCAAAAGATTTTTGAATTTAGTTTTGAGTTGTACGTTTGGTTATGAGTTTTGAAATTAATTTTTGAATTGAGTTTTGAGTAATTTTGAGTAATTTTGAGTTATATGTTTGGTTATGAATTTTAAAAAATGATTTAAAAATTTTACTTTTAAAATCATGATTCCAAAGGTAAACCAAATATAGCTTAAATTTTTTCTTTATCCTTTTAAAAAAAAAATTAGAAGGGATTTACTGTCAAATTTTCCTTGCAATTACTCATATAAAATATCGGGTAAAGCTAGCCGACGACGACCAATTCGGTAAGTTGGGTCGGGCCTGGTAATTGAAGCCCAAACCCAATCTGCCGACGCTGGTGGCTCTGCCAATACACGTGTCATACTTTCGCTCATCTCCATGGACTGGTGTTTCGTTACTCGCCGTATACGCGCGTGCCGAACACGATTCGTAAGTCCTACACTCATCCTCTGCCAAATTAATTCCGCTCTCCGTCTGTCTGTCTCTCTCTCCTTTGCGGTGTTAAAGTGATTCAAAGTTGTTATCTGAAACAGGCATGTTGGGTTGTTATTGTTTTCTGTAATTGGGGCTTTTTCACTTTCTTGTTTTCAATTAGCTTTTCAGGGGTTAGAAATCTATGGTGATTGAAATTTATTGACACAGTTTGTTGCAAACTGAATCCATTATCAAGAACTGTTTCTATTTATATTTCTATTTCAATCTTTTGCTTACAAAATCGTTTCTTGGAAACTGCAGATATTGAATTTTCAGATTTCTTTCTTTATGCACCAATATATTTAGGACTGTACACAACTTTTGTCACTTTCTCTTTTTTTGTTACAATCTTGTTCATGTATAAATATCGATATGTTTCTGAAAAATAACATCAATTTTAGATACCCTTTTCTATTTCTGATAATCAAATATGTTTGGCTGAACTTTGTTTGGATGATGAATTTGTGGAGGGAAATATATATATATATATATATAACTTTTTCCATTGCTTTTCTTGTTTCCTGTACAAATTCCTGCGTGAATTCAAGATTCAAACACAGCAGACCATGAATTATATTTTTCATATTTATTCGCATTCATAAATCATGTTTGATAACTTTTGGGAATCATGTGTTTGTACTTGTGAAATTAAGTTTGCTTTTATTTGGAATTTTTTTACTGGAAATAATTGTATTGACAAGTTTAATGGAGGAACCCAATTTGTCAAACTTGATTAAGGCATTATTATAAGTTATATAAAGATCCCTAGGGAAAATCTAAAAAAGGCTCTGTTTTCGTCCAAAGGGGAAAATAGTCATTTTAGAAAAGATGAATCGTGGGTTACTCCATTTGGTGCACTTTAGTAGAAGCTGCATTGTTTGACTTCCATTGGTCCCTTAAAGTATAAGTTAACTTTTTATAATGAAAATTTTGCATTAGGCAGCAATTTGCAACAGCATAGTGCCACATTGGAGCTAAATATAACAGTATTTAGCGTTGGGCATGTTTTGTGAGGCTTTTTTCGAGTTGAAAGTTATTATTAAAAAAATTAAGTTAAATATAACAGTATTTAGTGTTGGGCATGTTTTGTGAAGCTTTTTTCGAGTTGAAAGTTATTATTAAAAAAATTAAGCTAAAAATACCCATGTCCCAACTTCCCGATAAACAATTTTTTTTATAGCTTTTTTTGTCACATAAACTATAACAAGATGCTGTAACAAACGTACTCTGACACAAATTTCTAAAATAAAAAAACTATAAGAAGCATCAATAAATTGCACCAAGCATGGGCATGGCCGTTGTTCCCCGGTTCACTACATGGGAGATTGGTGTCATGTAGTTGGTGAGCCAATTTTCTACCTTTGCTTAGTGGAAACATAAAATAATTGAGAAAAAAATTATTATGCTGAATGGTGGGAGATACATGATATATCTAATGGTTGTAAGTTATGTCCAGTTATTTTGAATTGATCATTGCAGAATGTCTTTGAAATGGAATAATGTTAAAGTGGGACCACTTAGGAATATGAAACCTTAGGATCATGAGATGTGTAAGGCTTGCACAAAGATGATGATTGTTATCTCTTTCTGACATATTTTTATCTGTTTTGTTTCCTCCAAATAATGACCTTATTTGGTCAAGATATAATATCTTTGAATTGTGAAAGATGATTTTAAATGATTATAATACCTTTCTATGCATAAGTTGTTGATTTTCTATTTTCTATTTTTATTTTATTTTTGCTTCAGATAGATTCAATCAGTTAGGCAAGTTTTTCTTGTTTGGACCTTCAAAAAATGTACCCCGGTGGTTATACTGCAGAAGTAACAAACCTATCTCCTAGAGCAATGGAGAAGGTTGTTTATGAGTTCTTTGCTTACTGTGGTGAAGTTGAACATGTGGAAATCATCAGGTAGTTCTCAACTACTCTGTTTCTGGTTGCTGGATTTGAATCTGCTGTGTAGTTCTTATTGTAATTTGATCTTCTTTCCTTTTTCAAACTCTTTGGAAATTAGTTCTTTTCATGAAAGGTCAAATTTCTGATATTATTGATGTTTAGTTGTCCATTCAAAATTTTATGCCTATTGGGTAATAAATTCATTCATAATTAATGTCTCCAAAATATTCCTTTTACAAGTAGAAGTATGTGGATAAAGTTGAAGATATTGCTTGGCTTATCAAACCAAATCTTATGGTACCAATATGTATCTCAAATCAAACGATTCTGGTGCGATTCCTATTTCCATTGATTCACCCCCCAAAACCAATTGATTGCTTGGTGTATTAAACCGGATCGTGTGATACATATCATGAATCATACAATTCGGATAACAAAGAAGGCGTCATGTACATTGACCTCGGCCAGCATGGCTTGAGGGTAGGGAGAGCATGTGGAGATGTATGATTGGTCCACACACAACACCTCATTAGTCTGATACATGGATTCAAGACCATTGATGACATGACAGGATGAACATGTGGAGGTGACTTGGTGATATGATGTGGTGTGCCATGTAGGAGACTCAGATACATGTATCCACAGGCTTATAACATTTCTAACACGAATACATCATGTGCATTAACAAGATAAAGGAAAGTATGCAATAGGCAATTTTTGACGTATGAATAAGTATAGCTACAAAAATTTTAAATTTGTAATAAGAAAGCAAGTAATAAGAGGAGTGAACATAATATACAGGATGACCTCTGTCTTTCATAATTTGCAACTTTGATTAGAAATATGTAAATAATAAATTAGATTACATATTTATTTTTATTTTTTTTGTATAACATGCATAAAAGATATATAAATATATTAATATGGTCATTTCATTCCTTTAAAGATTTGTTGTTTCAACATGGCCGTCGCGTGTTGTGTCTGTGTCTCTGCTAAATAGCTGTTAAGGCTCCATGATACTCGCATAGTACAGTTGCCTTCTGGATTTTTTGTTCAACCATATGCAATTATTTGGCTGTGTTAATGTTACTGACTACAGATACTTTATTTGCTAAAAACAGATCTGGTGAATATGCTTGTACTGCCTATGTGACATTTAAAGATGCTTATGCACTGGAAACTGCTGTCCTGCTCAGTGTAAGTGTTCATATTTATGACCCCATACCCTTGGTTGGAATTGATTTTCAAGTCTTATGTCCTACTGTAGGAGCAGTTCAACTCTTGAAACGACAGTCAACAAACTTAAACATGGAAGTTAATGACATGTTGTTCCACAATATCCCAGTACTGGATCATTTGATGCTTTTCCTTGCTTATTATCATGCTTTCCATGTTTCATGCTTATGTCTTTGTATTTGTATTTGTGATGAGTCATTGAAATTTGGAAATAATTTGGGTTTAAATCATTATCTTTGTGTTGCCCTTAATAAGTTGGTCAGGTGCTTTGAGAGTATCTTTGTTTGTTATAATGTCATTTAAGATATTTTTGTCACTTGTGGATGCATGAAATGAGGCTATTCATGATACTTGAAATGAGTCTACGTTGTTTGTGTAGCTTTTGAAATTAGTCAATTTATGTCTTCACCCGTGGTAAAGGTCCCATTTTGAAGGTTTGGATTTGTGCCTTCAACAATACAGAAATGAAATATAAACAATCTCTTTTCATTCTGAGTTCAGAGGCTCCTGTTGTCGTGAAATGTTCTGCTCAGTATCCTATAATCTAGAAATCTCTCGTGATACTTAAACATTCAATTTGATTATTCGTCCTATTGTTACTTCAGGGAGCTACAATTGCAGATCAAGATGTGTGCATATCCCGCTGGGGAACATATATTGATGAATCAGATCCTTGGAATAACCCGTCATGGAACCTAGGAGATGAAAATAACTCAACAGTACGCACTTCTCTCTCCACTCTTAGTAGAAATATATTTTTGAATTGTTATCTGCAGAACTGGACTTAAATTTGTATTTTAGTTCTCAAGTTAATATTCACAGCAAATCATTTACTTACCCCGTCTATGCACTCATTAATAGCATTTTTTTTTTCTTAGCAGGCCACTGACACGAGTCAATTCATTTCTACTCCTGGTGAAGCCATAACTGTGGCACAAGAGGTAGTCAAAACCATGATATCACAGGGATATATATTGGGGAAAGATGCATTAATCAAAGCCAAAGCCTTGGATGAGTCCTATCAAGTGTCGTCTACTGCAGCAGCCAAGGTTTCAGAGCTCAGCAACAGAATTGGTCTCACTGACAAGATTAATGCTGGCGTGGAGGCTTTTAAATCCGTGGACGAAAAGTACCATGTTTCAGTGGTCACAAAGACAGCTGCGTCGTATACAGGGAGAACAGCAGTGGCAGCTGCGAATGCTGTTGTCAACAGCAGTTACTTTTCCCGTGGAGCTCTTTGGGTTTCGGATGCCCTCACTCGTGCAGCCAATGTTGCATCTGATTTGGGCAGCCATGATGTTAAAAAGTGAACTTTTGGGTCAGTAAACATACATTATAGCTGGTAGTGATGGACAACAACTAGACAGTTTTCTCTGTTAAAGTGTATTGGTGAACATGTATGTACATTAGTAGATTGACGAGCTGCAACCTAATGCTTACAGGTTTCTGTCATCTGTGCAGAAAATTTTAAAAATTTTGATCTGCCAACTTTATGTAATGTGGTTATTTTACTCTGTTACAGGTTTCGCAATCCAACATCATGTTCTTCTCTTCATGACCTACTGTTGAAATTTGATTTATAGCTTACATGGAGTTGATAAGCTCTGTTTGAAAGCAGATCAGGGAGATGGTTACCTGTGATTCAACATCAGATGCACTTAAAATGTTATTTATTTATTTATTTTTTTAATGACAGAAAGAGAACCTGAATGTGGCACTAATCGGATCCATTCCCATTAATGGGTGGTGGTTGGGTTCAGTTTGGGGTTTTATGCCAGAAGTTGGATTGGGCAAGAATTGGATGGAGCCATTACCCCCAAAGATTAATAAATTTGTCAAGCATTACTACGCATGTTTTTTTTTTGTGTGTGTATATTACAAGAAATAGACAATTGAGATTTTTACATTCAATTATAAAAAAGAAACAAGGGAGTTAAATCTTATATAATATTAGTTAAGCTTGTGATAAATAAAAAATTAACAACTATCATGTCATGTCATTGCGGGTTTCAAAAGGGAATGAGGTGAAAAAAATAGTGAATTTTTTTTGTGACACTTTGACTAACACACGAGTCCTATACTTTTGTTATATATGTTTCTCATTTTGTGAAAATCTTTTGCATTTCTAACATAGCTCAACTTGTTTTAATCACAATTATTGCCTTTTTTTACTTCGTGAGTGGAGAACAAGGGCTATTATGGAGTATGGTTTGATTAGATGGGGCCAGTGTTGTGTAGCTTCTTGGGATTTTATGAATGCTAAGGTCCATTGATATGAATGCAAATTGCTAACATGAATTGAATTGGAGGAGATGAGCAGAGAGCAGAGCAGGTAACTATAAAGGGGTCGACATCAATAGCTACAACAATGACTTTGTATCATTTTGAATGTTCTTTAGCGTCACCACGTCTTGTTAATGGCACTACATGACTGAAATCATGATCTCACCTAGCTAGCTTTAATAAATTCATATGCATAGCAACCTTGCAATTGAATGGTCTACAATCACATTTGTCTCATCCAATTACTTATATTCTAATCCATGGTTTCTAATTTTAAAAAAAAAAAAAAAAGGATGTAGAATGATTTGGGGATGGTATTATTGCAATTAAAAATCATCTTAATTGTTTTTTTTTTTTTCTCTTTTCAAAAAATGAACGATTCTCTTCATTATGGACGATGCTATTTATTTTGTAATCCTTATATGTATATCACCCATTAAAAAAATTAGAATTATTCGATAATCATAGCTAGAGGATTTAAAATGTTTGTGTTTAAAAAAATGGACAACCAGTATAATTTTGAAACAAGACCACTCATTTTTTAAGCACAAGCATAATGAAATTATATGTTTAAGATTATTGAATCAATCTAATTTCTGCAAACTCAATTCCGCAATCAAAAATGCTACAGACTCCCACAAAACTCAACCCCCATCTCCATATCAATTGGGGGTCATGGGGGTCACCCATTTTTTAGGGTCTCAAGCATTAATCTTCCGCAATATAGAGAGTGAGTGCGCTTTGTGGACGAACCACCGTGCTCCGGGAGATGAAGGCCTGCACAAGTAACGAATGGTGAGGTTGCCCGACCAGGGTTTGGTCGGAAATCCCTCCGACAGTAAAGTCAAGCTAGACAGAGAATGGGGAAGACGAGTGTATAGAGAGAGTGTAAAATGAATTCAAATCCCTTGTAAAAAGGTTACCTTTTATAAGGAAGGCTTGACTTACCCATCAAGTTTCTCTCTTTACAACTTGGCACTCAACCGTTTAGCAAGGTCACTCCTCATTGGAGGAAGGTAGAGACTCTGTTAAGCGATTCTGTTGTTCACGGGCACCACGTGCCATTCACTCACATGGCTTTGGTTGATCTGTTAGAACTTAACTTAGCTTAACTCACTTTAGAGTGAGTGTTTGAGTCATGGACTTGCCTACTTCGAAGTAAGGGAAGGAGTTTGGGCTAAGCCCATGGCCTGCCCATTTTGGAGCGGAGAAAGGGCCAAGGTTGAACCCTTAGCTCGGCCCACTTTGGAGTGGAGAAAGGGCCAAGGCCGAACCGTTAGCTCGGCCTACTTCGGAGTGAGGAGAGGGGCTAAGGTTCAGACCTCTAACTTAGCCCACTTTGCAGTGGGGTAAGGAGCTTGGGCTAGGCCCATGGCCTTGCCCACTTCGAAATAAGGAAAGGGCCATGGCTGAACCCTTAGCCTAGCCCACTTTGGAGTGGGGAGATGGGCTAGGGTTAAAACCTCTAGCTTAGCCTGCTTCGGAGTAGGGTAAGGAGCTTGGGCTAGGCCCACGGCCTTGCCCATTTTGGAGTGGGGAAAGGGTCGAGGCCGAACCCTTAAATTGGCCCACTTCGGAGTGGAGAAAGAGGCTAGGGTTAAAACCTCTATCACGGCCCACTTCGTAGTGGGCCCTCTCTTTGACTGGCTAGATCTCTACATAAGTGGGCTTGAGTAATTGTGCTCCCTTCCTGATTTATTTTCAAAAATGCTTAAACCAACGAAATGAATGAATTTGATCATACCCCATCGCTTAGTTCTATCAAAACATTATGCACAAAATTTAATATGATTATCGTATTTGAAAAACATATTAGTGTTTCTATTAAAGACCAAGTCATGAGATCATTAGTCAAATGACCATTAATGTAACATTTGAATGCTTTTCCCAATTAAATTTATAAAATAAAATAACTGAATATATGGTTGCATATATTTTTAATAATTAATTATTTTTTCCTATTCTTGAAGGAAGTGTAGCCTTCAAATGAAGTGGTTGTTTGATTGAAACTAAAAAAAGGGTAGAGAGGGCTACTGCAGCATTCTGCCCCATAGTTTACTGTTAGAAAAATCCAGAAAAACAGGATTGACCAATGAATATGTATTTATATGCATTGACCTTTCTTCACCTGATTTCCTTGGAGATTACTTTATGGTATCTATTAATTTTCATTAAAATATCAGTCTAAATACAAATAGGTGGTTTAGTTTGTAGGGAATAAATATATGCAATCTAATCCCATTTAAAAATGAGTCTATCTTGCACCTTCGCAAACATAATTAACCTGAACCACTCAGTCTACTCCTGTTATAAAATACATAAATGTAGTTTCTCAGTCAACAACCCATATTTTCTGACTTACCAATTTGTTTTCTTACTCTTTTGTGTTCAAAGTGGTGGCTAGGGCTTTAACTAGGGCATTACCATTGCAAGATCAATGAATCAACCTACACAAAATTTTAGGAAAAGTAGTATTTATTATTGGATGAATTTCATTTTTTTTATTCCACTTTCTACATGAATCTCATAACAAATATTTTGTGTCTATATATAATTTATCCTATTTAAAAAAATAATTGGTCTTGCACATGCACACAAAAAAAATAATATTTTCCACTAGATAAATCTTACCATTATCTTTCAACTTTTACGTGAATTCACAAATAACTATTGTGCACATATAAAATTGATTAGATCCAACAAGTAGTCAGTGTGTTTGGTTTGAGTTTTTTGAATTAAGTTTTTTGAAAATTGAATTTTTTGATTTTCGTATTCTTTTGTTTTTAGTGAATATTTTTAAAATTTTAAACATTTTTTTTACTTTTTTAGATACATCTTAGTTAGATGTATCTAAAAAGTAAAAAATTTGTGAAAAAAAATTTAAAAAAATTAATAAATACATAAAAATACAAAAAGAATGTACTCAATTCTTTTTTATTTTTATTTTTGGTATTTAGTGAATTTTTAAAAGATTTTTTTTACAATTTTTTTAATTCTTAGGTGTATTTATGTTAGGTGTGTCTAAAAAGTAAAAAAATTACTTAAAATATTAAAAAAATTCAGTAAAAATAAAAAAATACGAAAAATAAGAACGTAGAATTTTCTAAAAAGTGTTTTCTAAAAAATGAAAACAAGCACCTATATCGTATAGGTGACATTTGTTTTGTGGCAATAAAAAAAAATAAAAAAAGAAAAAAAGAAAAAAAGAAAAGAAAAAGAAAAAAAGAAAAATTATAAAATCCATCCAATAATATATATTTAATGGTCCTCAAAATTCTAGTGGAACCTTGACCCTAGTAAATGTGTGTATATTTTTTTTTCCCAGGGAGAGGGTGAGAAGGTTGCAGTTGCCTCTCTACGCAATTTGAATTCAAATTAGACCCAATTGGCTTATTGACTTCACAACAATAAGAAATAGCGTAACCCCTTTTATTTATTTGGTATGGTAGAAAACAATTGTCGTGAAGGTTCCATGGTGATGTTAGGCTTCTACCATCATATATCAAACTTATGAAGATAAAAATGACATGGCTAATAGATTAAGATTGACCGTATAACAAGTCAAACACTGATAATTAATAAATGATTAAGTTCTTTTAGAGTACTATGTGACATTATTAATAATCTTTTTTTTTTTCTGTATCGCGAATTTAGAAACCACCTAATATAACTCAGCACGTAATTTGGAACTCAATATCAGAAATTACTAAATATGGTTTCCTTCGATTCATGGGTTGCTGAAGGCTCTGCACCTTTTCTAACAACCAAAACATAGCACTTTTTGACATACATGCAGCTTATTTTTAAAAGATTTTTTTACAATTTTTTTACTTTTTAAGTGTATTTATGTTAGGTGTGTCTAAAAAGTAAAAAAATTGCTTAAAATATTTTAAAAATTCAGTAAAAATGAAAAAACACAGAAAATAAGAACGTAAAATTTTCTGAAAAGTATTTTCTGAAAAATGAAAACAAGCAAGCTAAATAGAATTTGCACCTATATCGTAGGTGACATTTGTTTTGTGGCATTAACATAAAAAAAAGAAAGAAAAAAAAAAGAGGAAAAATTATAAAATCCATCCAATAATATATATCTAATGGTCCTCAAAATTCTAGTGGAACCTTGACCCTAGTAAATGTGTGTATTTTTTTTTCCAGGGAGAGGGTGAGAAGGTTGCAGTTGCCTCTCTACGCAATTTGAATTCAAATTAGACCCAATTGGCTTATTGACTTCACAACAATAAGAAATAGCTTAACCCCTTTTATTTATTTGGTATGGTAGAAAACAATTGTCGTGAAGGTTCCATGGTGATGTTAGGCTTCTACCATCATATATCAAACTTATGAAGATAAAAATGACATGGCTAATAGATTAAGATTGACCGTATAACAAGTCAAACACTGATAATTAATAAATGATTAAGTTCTTTTAGAGTACTATGTGACATTATTAATAATCTTTTTTTTTTTCTGTATCGCGAATTTAGAAACCACCTAATATAACTCAGCACGTAATTTGGAACTCAATATCAGAAATTACTAAATATGGTTTCCTTCGATTCATGGGTTGCTGAAGGCTCTGCACCTTTTCTAACAACCAAAACATAGCACTTTTTGACATACATGCAGCTTTTAAGAATAAAAAGTACAACCATTTTTGAACATCTCATCCCTTATTCATGTTCTGGAGATTCCAAGAAAGAGCAGTAAGTGTTCTTACAAGGCTAGCTATCTCATCATTTTTTTTCTGGAAATATGATAATGTATATGAGGAAAATATTACAAGTCCTTGTATACATGACACAGATCCCTGGAGGTGGGGGGAAAACCTACCTAGACCACATTAGTCACTCTCTTCACCTGCAACTATCTCATAACAGCGCTACGATCACTGAAATATTCAATCACCGATATTATCAATCCTTCACAAATGTTCGCATCTACAAATCGGTATAAATCTCCACTTCAACAAATCAAAACTCCTCTCTATACAACCACCAACTCACACAAAAACAAACAAGAAGAAGAAAAACGAACCAAGGAAAAATTGGCTAAAGAGCGGTCAAGATTTGCGGAGGCAAGATATTGTTTCTGGCATTAGGAATAGGAACGCTAATCAGGGCATCTTCGTACGTTGCCCAATGTGTTGTATAAGCTGCCTTTTTAATCACAACACATTGGGCAACGTACGATTCCATTCTCATTGCAATCAGGGCATCTTTGAAAACCATACTCACTCTCATCACATTCTTCATCATAATCACCTTCATAGTATACCTTACAACTCCCTGAACAAGTCTCACATGGCACAAACCTTGTATCCCCACAAGCCGCACAAACTCCCCCGCCATCATCCACCTTTTCACAGCCTTCCAATAGCTTCTCAAGCTGTCCATCTTCGTGCAATCGCCGTATTTCCTCAGTCCCACCAATAAGCTTTTTCCCAACAAACACCCTTGGCAATCCACCACCATTAAACCCATCTCCCAGTAGCTCTTTCAGCTCATCCTTGAACCCCGAATGCATCGATAGGTCTCTCTCATCGATTCGAACATCGGTTCCTTTCAAAATGACTCGAACATAGCAACAATCTTCATATGTCTTCCTCACACCTCTTAGGCTGGTGAAGTACAACACAACCCTGTCTTTACTCTGAGGAATGAAATTAAAGTCAGTGACATCGCCATTAACTTTCTCTCCCTCCAATGGCTTAAGGTGAAATGGGTTCGCCGCAGGGAGCTCTTCCAGAGCTTTTCTGAATGTGGAAATGACATCCGGATCGAACTCGGAAATTATAGATGCTGCATTGGAATTGGTATTAGAATTGGAATTGGAAGTGGAAGTGGAATTGGAATTTGATTTATTATCGAGCATCTCGAGCCACATTGGCTGAGGAGGTGTTTGGAGATTTTCTTGGAGTCTCGATCCGGAAAGATCAAATGGAGAAGGAGCTGAATTAGGGGCGACATGGAATGAAAAACTTTTGAGGTTAGGAGGAATTCGAAGAGGGCTAGTATCTTCCAATCCTTCCATTAATTCCCATGTATTGATCGTCTCTGGTTCGCCCGGAGGCGTTATCACTGGCGTTTTCGGAACAATTTTGGGTATCTTTTCATTGATCATGTTGGACCATGTTTTTGCCTCAATCATCCCCATTGAAAACTCCTTGCTTCTCTTATCGTGGACAATCTCATCACCACCACTACCACCGCCATTTATATTCTCATTTTCAGGAGCTTTGTTGTCTCCGTTGTCATGGTGATTGTGATTGATTGCATCGAGCATGAGAGAGCCCAACGTAGAGGAGGTGAGAGCGACGACGTGGTAGGCGTCTCGGCCTTGCTTTGATCGGTGGTGGTGATGATGGTGGTGGGTGTGCATTGAGTAGCTCCGCTGAATCGGCGAGCACGGCGCCTGGCAGTTCCGGCATACCGGTTGTTGCTTCGAAGTGGCGCAACCCATTTCGAAACAAACAAGATTGATGGGTTAAAAAAGTGGCCAATAATTTTATATAAAGAATACAAACATATCTGTGTTTATAGGAATTTGAGGAACAGATTAAAAGAACATTCCCAATTGAATGAGCTGGATGGGTAAATCGAGGGATTAAAAAAAGGAAGATAGATATTAGGAGATTATTATATTAAGGAGAATGGCATGGATCGATGATAGTCTAGAACGAATTGGGTCGAAGGTTCTGTGCAGAAGAATAGGCAGAATGACTCATATTTCCATAGAAAACTCTCATAACCAAGTTCTTATTTTGTGGGAACTGTGAGTGGGCACAATTAAACAATATTATACTTCAATTAATCTGTTCTAGACAGGACATGAACTTTCAGAACATGAATGAATTAAATGATGAGAAGACAAGCGAAGAGAAAATTCAAGAAGGAAAAAAAAAAAAAAAAAAAAAAGGGAAAGGGGAATGGGAATGAAGGAATTTGAGAGTCAAAGAAGGAGGGCGAAGAAGAAGAAGAAGACCCTTTCCTTCAACACGCTGTTCGACCCACCCACACCACCCAACCTTCTCTCTCTAGAAATGGGATAGAAAATCAAACGACCTCTCTCTCGCTAGAGGGGCATGAATGGGAACGAGTGGTGAGTGAGAATCGAAAGACCAACTTTTTGGGGATGAAATGTTAATTTATAGAGATGACCAAATATGAATGTGATATAAAATGCATAGAATAAGATGAAATTGAATGATGACGAACGCGGGAATTATTGCTTGAATGGCTCCTCCCTTTTATGGAGTTATGCTTGGTTTACAAATTTAGGACATGTTAAAAACTTCTTAAAAAAAATTGAAGTTTCTATAATTCATATTAAAAAATCAAAAATTAATTGTTATGCTTGGTTTACAAATTTAGGACATGCTAAAAACTTCTTAAAAAAAATATATGTTTCTATAACTCATATTAAAAAGTCAAAAATTATTTTTTTTTTCCTATTTTTTACATTTTTTTTATAAAAAATTAAAAATTCATTTTAAATATATTAATTTTTTAATCTCATATTTTAGTTAAAAGGTTAAAAAAATATTAAAATAATATGTTCCCAAATGAAATCTTAGAGAGAGTTTTAAAAAGAAAAAAAAAATGTATAAAATTAATAATGCATGAATATTTTATTAATATTTTATACTGGTAACTTATTTTAGGAGAAAATTTAGAAAACTAATCACAAAAATAAAAGAAAGAGGGAGAAATAGTGTCATAAATCAAATTTCTTTAAGTAAACAAGAGTTTACAATTGTACCTTCGCACTTTCACAGTTTCAAAGTGAATTACAGTAACAAACTAATTTAGAATTATTCCTAAGAATTTGAAATGCAGTGCAGGAAAGTAAATGATTGGAAAGAAAAATATAAAGTAAATAAACTGATTTCTGATTTTGGTTTTGGTGCCTTCATTATCAGTTTTCCTCTCTATTTATAGGTCCAAGTAGTAACCGTCGAAGTGACTGAAAACTGTCGAAGTAACCTATATGATCATGGGTCATGGCTCCAAACACTTTGCCTCCACTAAGTCGTTTCTTGCAGTTGGGCTTTCCTCTTGAATTTAAATTTAAATTTTCAAGAATTGTTTAGCCATGTCACCTTGCTCTTTTTGATTGCTCCATATATATATATATCTATAAACAAAACCAAACCATATAATAAACCAAATATGTGTTTAATATATCTCTCACACTCACTCTCTATCTCTAACTCTGATATCTCTCTCTCTCTCACTCTCATCTCTCACTCTCTCGTTTCAACTCTCTCTCTCTCGTTGCTCTCTCTGGCCCGACCTCCCTCTCTTTCACCGACGGCGACGTCACCACCACCGCTGGCCCCGACCCCCCCTCTCTCATCGACGACGACATCACCACCACCGCTGGTCTCTCTCACCGACGGCGACATCACCACCACCACTGGTCTCTCTCACCGACGGTGACATCACCACCACCGCTGGTCTCTCTCACCGACGACGACATCACCACCATCGCTGTCTCTCTGTTAGATATGTCTCTGTCTCTGTGTGTGTGTGATCTAATCTGTGATTACTATTTAGATCTGTAATTTTTTTTTGTAAATTTATATCGGTCTCTCTTTGTTCATTTAGATCTGTGATTATTATTTAGATCTATAATTTTTTTTGTAAATTCAGATCTATAAATTTAGATCTCTCTCTCGTTGTTCTCTGTAAATTTAGATTTGTAATTTTTTTTTTAAATTTAAATCTGTGATTTGTTGTTCTGGTGTTGAAGCTCGGGGAGTTTTTGGGGCCGGGGAAACCCGATCCCCGTTAGGGGGCGGGGGTGGGGGCGGTAGTGGGTTCCCCGTCGGGGATGGGGACGGGGACGATGGGGACGGGGGGAAGTTCTGCCATCGGGGATCGGGGACGGGGAGGGTGATCCCCGGCCCCGCCCCGCCCCGTTGCCATTCCTAAATGTGTGGATGTAGTGGTGCTGTGTGGACCGGAACTGTGGGTCCACTTGTGTGTCGAATTTTAATTGGCTTCTTAGGTTAAATTCAAAATGTGTTAGAAAACGAACTCATAATGCAAAAAGTTTCAAATAATATTAAAAAAAATCCAAAACGTATAATGTATTTTTTTAGTACAATTTATAAGTTGATTTTTTTATTTATTATAAAAAGATATACACAAAAATAAAGAAATAATTTAATCCAAATAAATTAATAAATAACTTATTTATTGTGTTGTCAAATTAATTATAAGTATCGTTAAAAAAAATTGATTATAAGTAAATAATTCTTTATCTCAACTATCCAACAAAAGATTTTATTATCCTACTCTTAAAATTTTTGTTGCATTATTAATTAGAATTGTGACACCGTAGTTAAGCCCCAATGTGAGAAGTCCCCGACTTATTTTCTATTTATTAAAGCCTAAAAGAAAAGTTAACAATCACTTATCATTGTTTAAAAAAAGTTAAATATCACATCAAATTTTTACTTGCAAGAATATTATGTTAATAACGTTTTAAGCACCATAAGGCTTCATTTGGCAACTATATAATTTAGTTAAAAAATTAAAAAAGTCACTATAAGTTGTGGCATCACTCTTTCTATTTTTTTACACATCTTTTTATAAAATTCAAAAAATTATTAAAATAATGTTGACTTTTTGATTTTCAAAGGTTAGAAACGTAATTAGAGTGTGCCAGTAAGAATCAATAAGTTCTTACAAAGATAGTAAATGACAACCAATTAATCAGACAATTGCTTTGAAATTCTTTTTAGCCTCAATAAAGAAGACTTTTACTGGTAACTTATTTTATGAGAAAATTCAGAAAACTAATCACAAAAATAAAAGAAAGAGGGAGAAATAGTGTCATAAATCAAATTTCTTTAAGTAAACAAGAGTTTACAATTGTACCTTCGCACTTTCACAGTTTCAAAGTGAATTACAGTAACAGACTAATTTAGAATTATTCCTAAGAATTTGAAATGCAGTGCAGGAAAGTAAATGATTGGAAAGAAAAATATAAAATAAATAAACTGATTTCTGAATTTGGTTTTGGTGCCTTCATTATCAGTTTTCCTCTCTATTTATAGGTCCAAGTAGTAACCGTCGAAGTGACTGAAAACTGTCGAAGTAACCTCTATGATCATGGGTCATGGCTCCAAACACTTTGCCTCCACTAAGTCGTTTCTTGCAGTTGGGCTTTCCTTTTGAATTTAAATTTAAATTTTCAAGAATTTTTTAGCCATGTCACCTTGCTCTTTTCGATTGCTCCAGTCCTTCGCAAATTCATTGCCATTGTGTAACGACCTCATCACGTATAATGATTAACATTTAATTAATTAAGGAGATTTGAAATTTAATTGCCAATTATTCTAATTTAATTTGGGATTTATGAAAATTATAGAGATTGATTCATATATGATTCTATTGAGGATTTACTTTAGAATTAGAAATTAAAAGCCTAAATAGCTCAAGAAAGTACAAATGATGAATTGAATTATTTTAATTTCGAGTATCGAACCATATGGGAGTTTAATTAAATATTCGATTCAGATTTATAAAATTGAGATTTGATTAATTGGGTCCAAATTGGAGTTAATTAAGTTATACGAATTAGGAATTAAGATTATTATGAATTGAATTTATTTATGAGGTGTTCAATTGAGTATGTAATTTATTGACGAAGATTTTGAGTTTAATCTGAAATTGAAAGCCTTGTTGATATAAAAACCAAAATTGAGGATAGAAATAATTTTAATTTAATATTTGGAACATTTTGAGAGTTTGAATAAAAATCTAATTCAGAATGAGAAATTAAATATGATTAATTGGGTCTTAATGGAAATTAAATTAGACTAATTAAATTATGTGGGACTTATGATTTGTTATGATTAATCAACTTATGTGCTAATCAAGATGTACTAAGATCAAGTGCTGCCTAATTAAGTTAATTTTTAATCATAAATTGAATAATCTAGAATTGGGAGTGCAATGGGTGTGGGTGTAGTGAACAAATCTGTGTTGTGTGTGCATGTGTGTGCATATGAGTGATGTGTTCGAATTCAAGGATGAGTGCACGTGTGCAATGTAAAAAGTGGAGTGTGTGTGTGTGTGTGTGTTGTATTGATTATCATAAATTGAATAATCTAGAATTGGGAGTGTAATGGGTGTGGGTGTAGTGAACAAATCTGTGTTGTGTGTGCATGTGTGTGCATATGAGTGATGTGTTCGAATTCAAGGATGAGTGCACGTGTGCAATGTAAAAAGTGGAGTGTGTGTGTGTGTGTGTTGTATTGATTTCATTAAGTGAAGAAGTGGGTTCATTTACAAAAGAAACTGTGAGAGAGAGAGAGAGAGAGAGAGAGAGTTGAAGTCAAGAATGAAGAAGTGTGTGTGTGTGTGTGTGTGTTGTGGAGAAGTCTGAAAGTTAAAAAAAAAAAAAAAAGTCTGAAAATTAAACCCAAAAAAAAAAAAAAAAAAAACAGAGACTTGAGTTCAAGTTCAAGAGAAGAAAAAGAAGAAAAATGGTGAAGTGCAAAGAAGGGGCTCAATCTTCACCAAGAAATTCAACAAATCAAAACTTTAGGTAAGAAATTAAAGCTTAAATCTTGTAAATAAGTCACCTAATAGCTTAAATTAAGGAGTGTGGAGACATCTTAAATCTTGTAAATAAGTCACCTAATAGCTTAAATTAAGGAGTGTGGAGACATAATTTTTGAATGACAACACGTGGCCAAGGTGTCACCGAAGTGCCAGCCGAGGGGCCACGTGTCTTGGTCATGACACCGAGATCATCTTGGCTAAGCCAAGGTTATCTGCGAAGATACCGGAATCCAAGATAAGCGGATAAGGGACAAGAGTCCTAGAATGAGAGAAGACTTCAGTTTGGATAAAGATAAGACTCTTAAAGAGTTTATCTCGATCCTACTGGGAGTCCAAGATTAGCAATAATCCTAAGTCCATTAGAGCTAGGTTTCTATTGGGACTAGGATTGTGTTGGCTATAAAATGGAGGCACCCCCATGGGTCTAAGGTATATTTTTTATGCTTTGTCTAGTGAGTTAAGCACTATTGGTTATCTTTGAGAGATATTTTACTGACTTGATCGTCGGAGTGCTCCCTAGTGGACGAA